CAAATTTTTCTGACGCTCCTCTCTTCCCTCCAGCACAAAAAACTTCTTCTATCAAATTCGTGGAATATCTTTTATCAAACATCAAAAACACACTGTTCTCTCAACCTTACTTCTCCGATCCTTGCTTTAGATCGTTTGTAGATAGGGGGGTGCGGACTTCCCTTTAGCACATCCCCCCGGTCGTACCAAATTAAAGGTAGAAATTTTTAAAATCCGAATTCCCTGTACTCACAGGTTTTTGTTTCCAGTCCAAATTTCGGGAAGAAAGTTAACGCTCTCCGGCCATGGCTCGCGGCTTCGCTCCACTGCTTAGCGGTCTACTCCCAGCACCACGCCACTCTCCGTACCCTCTCTGTAGCCTTTAAAAAGGCTCTTCGTGGGTCAGGGAGGGCGCTTAAGGTGCCCACTGAGTCACCAAGTCCACAGGAATCCGCGCCTGTGGTTTCTGAGGGTCCCTAAATCAATTGTAGAAATCTAGACAACATTCAAAAGGTAAAAAATTGTTGCCCAGTGTATAATTTAACATCTTTTGGGGGCAATTCCAAACCTGTTATTCCAAGAAGAAAGGCCTCTGGTTTCTTTATAAATGTATATTTCAACATTTTTTTCAATTCATTATAAATCTTTTCCCAGAAGTCTTTCACCTTGGGGCAGGACCACCACATATGATAGAAAGTACCTTCGTTTTCTTTACATTTCCAGCAATGGTTATCACAGTTGTCAGGGGTTCAGGAGCAGAGGCAAGGGCAAGGGAGGAAACAGAGAGTGAGGGGGAGGAGGCAGAAGAAAAGATGAGTGATGACGACGACCCGAGATCTCCGAGTCTTTCCAGTGAATCAGAAGATTCACAGAAAGGAGCACCAGTGGCCAGGGCAAGGGGGGAGCCTAGGGGGACACCCCAGGAAGAAAGGGCCAGAGGGGGCTCAGAGGGGAGCAGTGGGAAACCGGGACCAGCGTCACCCACAGAGAGCAGGGGAGAGGAAGGGCGCCAGGTATCAAGCGCTGGAAGCTCACAACAGGAGGGAGGGCACGAGTCAGGAGTGGCCACACCTCCATCGGGGAGCGAAGAAACGGTCAGACGGAAAGTGGGAGGTTGGGCGCGCGCGCCAAGTTCAAATGCACAGGAAGGTGGCGCAGTGAGCAGCCCGGAAAGGGAGCCAGGTCCTAAAGCCCGGCGCAAGGAGACAGAAGGGTCCGGGGGGTCAGCGTCAGAAGAATCCCGGAAGGAAGAGACCCCGGGGGGCAGAGGGACCCAGAGAAGAACAGTCAGGCGGAAAAGGTGGAGTAAAGCCAGGGTATTAAGTTGGTGTACAGGGGGCGGAGAGTCAGACGGAGCTTCGCCGGTCTAGCCATAAGACGTAGAGTTGCACGCAGCAGCTTGAGAATGGAAACTGTAACTCAATAAAGACTTTTATTTAATGATCGCTGGCTAGCGTGATCCTCTGTGAGCTAGGATCTTGAAGCAGCTCTGACAACAGTTATGATAAATCTTTGCTAATTTAACTGGGGTCGGATACCATCTATACACCATTTTCATTATGTTTTCCTTTAGTACAGTACATGCAGTGAACTTGACCCCTTTCTTCCACAATCTTTCCCAATCCTCAAACATTATGTTATGTCCTACATGTCTTGCCCAATCTATCATCACTGATTTAACTTGTTCATCCGGCTCAGAAATGGAAGCAAGAGGAGCTGCCTACACTACACGAATGGAGAATGAAGATGATGGACTATGCAGAACTTGATAGATTGACGGAAAGGATCCGAGACCGGCAAGACCAAAGATTTATAGAAGATTGGGAAAAATTTAAAGAATATATGCATAAATTAAGTGACAATCAAATAACGCTTGTAAGCTTAAATGAAGCTCTGTAAAAAGAAATGTTAGAATTGGAGTAAAGCAAGGCTTTAGTTTTAAGAATAATTGAAGTAAGACCTTAGAAATGTGTATGAAACTTAAAGTGGAAGGAGTATCAGGCAGGATGAGGGAAGTCCAAAAAGGGAGTGGATATTATAAAAAAAGATGTATGATTTGTATAATTTTGTATTGGAAAAATTGAATAAAAATGATTTATAAAAAAAAAAAAGATTTAACTTGTTCATCCTTCGTATGCCACTCTAACAATGGGAAATGTAGTGTTTTCAAAGCCCCCCCCCCAATGTTGCAGGGGGCATTCTCTGGGTGTTTGGTGCTGCTTTGGAGTGAATCAGATGGCATTGGACCTTTGGAGAAATCGTGACCCTGTGGGTTAGGGCACTGAAGCCTCATTTTGGGGGGGGTGCCATGAAACGTGGGGTTTTCACTGCCATGGATCACAAAACGGCTGCTGTTTTGTGCGAAGCTGGTAGACTGAGAAACTAGTATTTTATTTTTATTTTTAAGAAGATAAACTAAAGGTGTGTGCTTACAGGTAAACAGATACCAGTGTGCATGCCCATTATGACCTCAGGCAAGAATCAAGAAAATACAAGTGGTCCCTCTTAACTGACATTCTGAACTGAACAGAACTGAAGGGAGGGGCTGGTTCTGGAGCAAAGCTGTTTAGATTGGGTTTGGGTGGATGCGAAGAGGATGCCTCAAACTTCTTGGGCTTTGCTTCTCAACTTATTCTGCCTTCTGGGACCCCCCAGCCCAAGACCAACCACCTCTTGGATAGGTGAGCATGCAGATATTTTGGAATGTGAGTGTGGGGCAGGATGACCGCGTATGAAAGCTCATTTGAGCACAAGTGCTGGCCCCCCTTTTCTCTCCCATGGAGGCCCTGAACTGGCCAGCTCCTGGTTCAGGGCCTCCAAGGGAGAGAAAAGGGAACCTCAGTTACTCTTTGCCTTCTGAGGACACTGTCTCACTCCCAGAGCCCCAAGACTTACGGCTGCTGCTCTAACAGCCTCAGGACATCCAAGGGATCATGAGCAAAGCACACAAGCCCTGCCCGCCAGATGTGAAGCACTCTACGGAGAGAATTTGGGTTTTTTAACTGGCTGAACAGAGTTTCAGCCCTTGGGAAATTTCATTTCTTAAACATACACCTTCCCCTTCCTTGTGTCCCTGGGGAGAAAAGCCAATCCTGCTTTCTTCCTTTGGTAATTTAATCAGAGGAAATAACTCTTTCAATGGTCTAATAGATTTGCTGAATCATGAATTCTGTACATGCACAGAGGCTATACCTCTTGAAACCCCAAAGATGGGCAAGATGGGGCATTTCTCTCCACCTGGCTCCACCGGATATTGCTGATGGCCAATGAAAGCCCAAGTAGGGATTCCTAGTGGGGGATGTTGCTGTGGTATAGTGGAGGAGCAGGGCCAGGAGGCTAACTTGGACACCTGAGAACACAAAAAAGCAGCAGCAAAACAACTACATGTTTCCTTTTAAATGGGCCTTCCTGCTGAGTGTAAAGCATAGATCCTCATTTTTTAAGGGAAAAGGGAGAGAAGGCTTCTCCCAAAGTGTTAGGTAAAGGTAAAGGTACCCCTGCCCGTACGGGCCAGTCTTGCCAGACTCTAGGGTTGTGCGCTCATCTCACTCTATAGGCCGGGAGCCAGCGCTGTCCGCAGACACTTCCGGGTCACGTGGCCAGCATGACAAGCTGCATCTGGCGAGCCAGCGCAGCACACGGAACGCCATTTACCTTCCCGTTGGTAAGCGGTCCCTATTTATCTACTTGCACCCGGGGGTGCTTTCGAACTGCTAGGTTGGCAGGCGCTGGGACTGAACGACGGGAGCGCACCCCGCCGCGGGGATTCGAACCGCCGACCATGCGATCGGCAAGTCCTAGGCACTGAGGTTTTACCCACAGCGCCACCCGCGTCCCTTCCCAAAGTGTTAGAAGGCCACAAATAATGTAACAATAGAGCAAAACAAATGTGCCGTTTCATGTGATACAGAATCCTATGTGCAAATCTGTTAGATTGAGAAATTTGTACTAAATAAGAAAAAAAAATTAAAGGTGTGTGCTTGCAGGTAAACAGATTGGAGATTTTCTGCAAGATCTTGTGAGATCTCATTGAAGTCTTGCAAGATGTGTAGGAGAGCAAAATATGTATTGAGATTTGGGAGAGATCTTGCATGCTCTTTTCAAGTTTATACATTTCAATAATTTTGCAGTCATTTTAACATTTCAAAACTTGACTTCCTTCCCCCTCTTTCTGCAGTTCTTTAAATTGATTCTTCATATCTTATGCATATCCAAATTACCTCAATTTCTTCATTTATGCATCTGCTTTAAATATATAATCTTATTAAACTGCAGGTTATTCCAATAATCCTGCCAATGTTCTTATCTGTTTACAGTTTGTAACTATTCATTAAACCATTTCCATTCTTTAATAAAAAGTTTGTTCTCTTGCTCCTAGAAACGGTCAGCATGTGACAGAGGCCACATCCTGGGAACGGTTTGACTGACCACCTAAACCAGGTGAGAGCAGCCAAGGAGTCTCAAATGCTCAGGAACTTCCCCTGTGTGCAAAGACAGGCTCCAGCAGATTGAGCGGACAAGACCAAGCGTGGGCCCAGTGGTCAAGAAGGTGGTTTCTGGAATGCTGTGGAGGGAAGTGAGGGGCAGATGGGGCTCATCCACCTATAAAGATAGCCCATCGAAGAGAAGGAAAACTCTGATCCTAATTTGCCTTGTGGGATATCTTTGGGAGCTGAAAAGGCTAAGGAGTAAAGCCTACACAAATCTGGAGTGGAGTCCCTCAGGCGGTTGGATGGCGCCGTTTACAACCCCTTCTGACATCTCCTGCAGCCCAACTGGTGCCTAACTCTGCTTTCCTTGGAGACACATCTGCAAGGCCAAGACAGGGAGTCTTGTCATCTGGGAAGCCCAGGACCTCCAGACACACTGCCCAGTCTTGCTCCCTGGAGAGGTCACTTTGGGACTGCTGACACTGTTGCTTGACTTTTGACCTCACCCCCGGAGGCGCACTCCATTGCTTCTCAAGACAGACAAATGCCAACATTAAAAAACTATTTGAAAGAATTTTATTTCATTCACAAAAGACAAACTGGCATGTGATTAGGACAGTGGTTTTCAGACAACGGGTGACACGTTTATTGATCCAGTTTGGAAGTCTCTGTCTTGTCTTCGCACATGCGCACTTCCATCTAGGAGCAACAACAAGGGAAGGAGCCAAACTGTCGACTCCTGCAGCGAGACTCAGGATTTCCACTCATGCTCACAAACGTAGGAAAAAGCACCGCCTAGGATAAAAGGATGATCACAGAATAGCATGTTTGTAAAGGAACATGATTAGAATAATAATGATGATGATGATTTTTATTTTATTTTTCTATTTGGGTTTGTGGGGAAGGGGGGGACTGGGTCTTGGTGGGGAGGGAGATCTGTGCTGGAGTTGCTGGCCTCACTGCTGTCGCTGCCCGGAAGAGAGAAGAAGAGAAAATATTTTTAATCTTTCCATTGATTATTATGTTGACAACCCATCTTTCCTTCAAGGATCTCCAGGTGGCTTACGCTATTCTCCCTTTCTTTAATTATATTTACTTCCTCATTCCGTTTCTCTTCCAATATCTCTTCCTCCTCCTCCTCGGAGACCAGGGGGTGGATTTTAGGGGCACGACAGCAGGAGGCCAGCAGCTCGCACAGCCTGCCACACTGGCCATTCTCTCTTTCAACAGCCTTGGAGAACAACTGAGTAGGCATCTAGAGCGTCAACTGAACAGGCATGTGGATCAGCTAGTCACTGGGCACAGTCTATTCTTTTGGAGGGGGCTTTCCCCAGTTTCCATTTATAAGAAGTTTGAAAGGTTGCCTCTTTATAAAGTCTGTTTCCTTGTGACGAGAGACCACACTGGAGACTCAGTGTTTTTGAAATATATCAAGGTAAAGGGACTCCTGACCATTAGGTCCAGTCGTGGCCGACTCTGGGGTTGCAGCGCTCATCTCGCTTTATTGGCGGACCGGTCATGAACAGCTTCCGGGTCATGTGGCCAGCATGACTAAGCTGCTTCTGAACCAGAGCAGCGCACGGAAACGCCCTTTACCTTCCCGCCGTAGCGGTACCTATTTATCTACTTGCCCTTTGACGTGCTTTCGAACTGCTAGGTTGGCAGGAGCAGGGACCGAGCAACGGGAGTTCACTCCGTCGTGGGGATTCGAACCGCCGACCTTCTGATAGGCAAGTCCTAGGCTCTGTGGTTTAACCCACAGCGCCACCCGCATCCCTATTATTTATTTATTTAGATACTTGGGTTTTGGGCGAAGGGAGAACTGGGTCTTGGAGCGGGGTAGAGCTGTACTGGAGCTGCTGGCCTCACTGCTATCACTGCCTGAAGAGAAATGAAGAGAAAAGATTCTTAATTTTTTCATTAATTATTACATTGATGACCCATCTTTCCTGCAAGGATCTCCAGGTGGCTTGCGTTATTCTCCCTTCCTCCCTTCCTCATCCCATCCCTGAACTCTTCTTGAATGAGGGAGCTGCCTCCCCCCACCCTCAGTGATCCAGATTCTCTCTGGCCTCCCTGTTCCTCCTGAACAAAGATCAACACTCACCATTGGTAGTAGCATCTGTGGTATCCATCCTCTGGTCCCTTGGCCTTACGTAGATCGTAGATCGTTCTCACCTTTACCCTTCTTTCCTTTCCATCCTTCATTACACTCACTGTGTCCTCCTCCTCACAGACCAGGGGATGGATTTTTGTGGCACGACAGCAGGAGACCAGCAGCTCACCCAGCCTTCTCAGACTGCAGAATCTAGGGAAGAAGAGGGAAAATAGTCAGGAAATGGGTTCTAGATGCTTCCTTGATACTCTTTATCTGGCAGATAAACCTACTTTCAGAAACCTCTCATGGCGATTGCAGCAAGCAGCTGAAACCAGAGAGGAGGGCATCTTGTCAAGAGACCCTCCAGAACTGGGAGATCCCTTTCTTGTGGTGATGCCCGCAAGGGAGAAGGCAAGCCATTTCCCTCAAAGGATCTAAGAGGGTCCTGAGGTCAATCTTTAAAAATTAATCTAACCATGATATGGTTCCTTATATATCTGAATCTTGAGGGATAGCAAATGAAGCAAAATGCAGGAAGAATAAGAGATCCTACGTATACACGAGATGAATAAATTTTCATTTTTCAGAAAACACAATTCACACCAACAACCTATTTTCTTTGAACTATCCTCAAATAGTTGCTCTTCCCAAAGTTGTCAGCCAAGTCTGTCAGCCGGAGAACGTGTCACAATGGAGGACCATGACACCGTCACTTTAGCTACCTGTCTTTACAAGGGACATGGCTCCCTTTAATATTCATTTTTAAAAATATATATTTTAGTGGGTTAAGCAGTTTTGTTTTGTTTATTTTAAAAAGTTCGATACCTCTTCCTTTTCATGTAGCACAGTGATTTAGGCATTCTACTTACGCTTTAGATGAAGAAAGTCAATTCGTTGCGCTAAAAAACATGTTTGCTTCCTCAAAATCTTCCTCCTCTCGTCTGAACTATCCTCAAATAGTTTCTCATCCCAAAGTCCTCATCCAATCCCTGAATTCTTCTTGAATGAGGGAGCTGCCTCCCCGCTCCCCAGCGAGCGGGATTTTCTCTGGCCTCCCTGTTCCTGATGAATAAAGATCAACACTCCCCATCTATATATCGGTATGAGAAATTATTTTCACCTTCACTAAAGATGAGGGAGCTGCCTCCCCGATCTCCAGCCAGCGGGATTTTCTCTGGCCTCCCTGTTCCTGATGAACAAAGATCAACACTCACCATCTAAATTGGTATCAGTGGCATCCATCCCCTGGTCACTTGGTCTTACATAAATTATTTTCACCTTCACTAAAGATTCCTTCTGATCTTCATAACCATCACTTCATCCTCCCATTTCTCTTCCAATATCTCTTCCTCCTCCTCCTCCTCACAGACCAGGGGATGGATCTTTGGCACGTGACAGCAGGAGACCAGCAGCTCACGCAGCCAATCTTTATAAACTAATTTAACCATGACATGGTTCCCTACGTTTCTGAATCTTGAGGGATAGTAAAAGAAACAGAATGCAGAAGGAATTAGGAATCCTACTTATACTTTAGATGAAGAAAGTCTCTTCATTACACCAGAAAACGTATTTCCTTTCTCACAAACCACCTCCTCCTTCTCCTAGACCACGCTACGCCATCTTTGCCATCTTTATAGGTTAGTGTTTAATATAAGTTCAATATTAAAAGTGTTGCCTTCTCTTTTACCTTTGTTTTCCAGTAACTTCCACTCTTTTACCACAAACAGCGCTGACAATCCAAATCTTTTAACTCAGTCTCTTTCGCTGGGCTCACGCCACTTCAAAGTAAAAAACAAGTTAAGTCCTTGAATTCCGCTTCTTTTAATGGGCTACTACTGCTGCTGCAGAGTGAAATTTGAATCTGTCTTCCTTTTCTTACTGGTACTTGTTAGAGAAATCTTTGCTTATGGTTACGTATAATGAGAAAGATTTCCAATATGTTTAAGATAAAATCTCCCGTTCTTTACTCTTTATGTGCTAGCCTTTCGGGTCTGTTTCTGAGCAGTTCAGTTTGTATAAATAAGTCTCACAGACCCTCTTCTCCTCAAGCTCTCCTTGTTAGCTGCCGTTCTTACCGTTTGGGACTTTGAGGCTTGCTGCTGAGGATTGCTCGTGTCCTTGCGTCTAGGTACTCTCTGTCGACTCACCTCCTGCTTAGGACGTGGGCTTCGAAGGGTTCCTTTTTTGACGCTGCCGGACAATGTCAGCCCTGGGCCACGCCCAGAGCCTTTTTGAGGGTCGTGTAGCCTCCGCGTTGCCCCCCAAAGTTCCCTCTAACAGCTGCTAGGCACGGAGAACCCGCAAAGCACATCCACAACGGAGGGCGGAAAAACCGGAAGCCCTTACATACCAGGTTTGGGAGGGGGATTTGGTCTGCGATAGGCTTTTTCCGTAGGGACACGGGTGGCCACAGAGCCTAGGGCTTGCTGATCAGAAGGTCGGCAGTTCGAATCCCCGCGACGGGGTGAGCTCCCGCTGCTCGGTCCCAGCACCTGCCAACCTAGCAGTTCGAAAGCACAAAGTGGAAGTAGATAAATACCATATTTTTCGCTCTATAGGACACAATTTCCCCCCTCCAAAAATTAAGGGGAAATGATCAAAGCAGCAGAAATAAGAGATGATTGGATCCCTTTAAGAGCTCGAAGCATGGGTACCCCCAACCAAAATTTAAAATTCGGTTTTGTAATTTGGAACTAATGTGATTTGATTGGTTTGCTAATAAAAAATATTTTATAAAAAAAACAAAAATTAAGGGAAAATTTGTGTGCGCCCTATGGAGTGAATGCAGGCTGCGCAGCTAAGCCCAAAGCCAGAACAGGGAGAAGGAGCGCTGCGCAGCGCTCCGTCTCGCTGTTCTAGCTTGGGGTTAGCTGCGCAAAGCCTCCGCAGGGCAGCAGGGTGAAGGCACCCTGCCACCCTGCGGAGGCTTCAAAGGCCGTCCCCAAAGCCAGAACAGTGAGGCGGAGCGCTGCGCGGCGCTCCGTCTCACTGTTCTAGCTTGGGGATGGCTGCACAAAGCCTCCGCAGGGCAGCAGGGTGCCTTCACCCCGCTGCTCTGCAGAGGCTTCAAAGGCTGCACTCCGTTGGCTTCAGGCAGCTATCTGCAAGCTTTCGGAGCGCAGCAGGAGTTCCCGCTGTACTTCGAAGGCTTGCGGATAGCCGCCTGAAGTCACCTAGCAGTTCGAAAGTGGAAGTAGATATACCGTATTTTTCACTCTATAGGACGCACTTTTTCCCCTCCCAAAATTAAGGGGAAATGATCAAAGCAGCAGAAATAAGAGATGATTGGATCCCTTTCTGAGCTCGAAGCATGGGTACCCCCAACCAAAATTTAAAATTCGGTTTTGTAATTTGGAACTAATGTGATTTGATTGGTTTGCTAATAAAAATTATTTTATTTTAAAAAAATCAATTAAGGGGAAATGTGTGTGCGTCCTATGGAGTGAATGCAGGCTGCGCAGCTAAGCCCAAAGCCAGAGCAGGGAGAAGGAGCGCTGCGGAGCGCTCCGTCTCGCTGTTCTAGATTGGGGTTTGCTGCGCAAAGCCTCCGCAGGGCAGTGGGGTGAAGGCACCCTGCTGCCCTGCGGAGGCTTCAAAGGCCGTCCCCGAAGCCAGAACAGTGAGGCGGAGCACTGCGCGGCGCTCCGTCTCACTGTTCTAGCTTGGGGATGGCTGCACAAAGCCTCCGCAGGGCAGCGGGGTGCCTTCACCCCGCTGCTCTGTGGAGGCTTCAAAGGCTGCGCTCTGGGGGCTTCAGGCAGCTATCCGCAAGCCTTCCAAGTGCAGCAGGAGTTCCCGCTGCACTCAGAAGGCTTGCGGATAGCCGCCTGAAGCCTGGAGAGCGAGAGGGGTCGGTGCACACCGATCCCTCTCGCTCTCCAGGCTACGCTTCGCTGGAGAGGCGCTGCACAGTTTTCCCTCTCTGCGCAGCGCCCCTTCAGCGAAGCGGGAGGAGAAATGGAAGGGGCTCCGTTTCTCCTGCCGCTTCGCTGAAGGGACACTGAGCAGAGAGGGAGAGAATTTTTTTCCCCTGTTCTCCCCCTCCTATGATCCGGTGCGTCTTATGGTCCGGTGCGTCCTATAGAGCGAAAAATGCGGTAGGTGCCGTTCTGTCAGGAAGGTAAACAGCCTTTCCGTGCACTGCTCTGCTTTTGCCAGAAGCGGCTTCGTCATCCTGGCCACATGACCCGGAAGCTGTACGCCGGCTCCCTCAGCCTATAGAGCGAGATGAGCGCGCAACCCTAGAGTCGTCCGCGACTGGACCTAACGGTCAGGGGTACCTGTACCTTTACCTAGGCTTTTTCCAGATCTGCCTTACTGCCCTATGTTTCTAAATCTTGAGGGAGAGCAAAAGAAGCAGAATGCAGAAAGAATTAGACATCCTACTTACACTCAAGAAGAAGAAATCTTTATTTTGCCGGAAAACATCATTACTTCTCACAAACCACCTCCTTTCTCCTGAACTATCCTCAAATAGTTGCTCTTCCCAAAGTCCTCAGCCAAGTCACTCAGCAGGGGGACGTGTCACAATGGAGGCCCTGACCCTGTTGCTTTAGCTACCTTGCTTAACAATGTGAATTGTTCCCCTTAACATTAATTTTTCAAATATATCTTCCCGTGGGTTTTTATTTTATTTATTTAGGAAGGATCTAGAGCTGGCTTCATCCAGCACGGTGCATTTCTGGACAGGACAGGAAACACCTTGCAAACACACACTTTTCAACATGGCGGTGTCACCAAGGAAAAACACTCCTGGCCTAGACTATGGCTGCTGTTTCTCAATTAATAGTAAAAAATGACCCTTCTCAACATCCTGTAATAATCTGTCCAGTATTAGGATGGACAGGAGCAGGACTTCACCCTTAGACCCCCTCATCCCCCTGTTTCTTTCTGTTTCTGCCCAGTGTCTTCTGCCAATCAACAGCTTTCCTTAGCTTGCAAGGAAGTGAAATGTTATGAGTTACTTGGTGCCAGACTCCCCTTTGCCATGAGTTTCTGGGTGCCAGGCACTGAACCCCTGGACACTGAACATCGGGGGAATTGATCTAAGCTGTACCCCAAGCACTACATTTGATTGTTGGTTATTAAAAACTGATTGAAACCATTTTATTTCATTCACAAAAGAAATTTTGACATGTGATTATGATAACAGTTTATATAATAAAGGTGACACGTTTATTGATCCTTTTTGTAAGTTATTATTTGTCTACTTTAATGTATTTTTTATATATATTAATCAGTAAGGGGGTGGGGTGGGAAGCAGTTTTGCATATGAAACTGGTGGATGGCTGTCATTAATCCAGATCAATTTCATAGAATCATAGAAACTTATAGCTGGAAGGGACACCAAGGGTCATCTAGTCCAACCCCCTGTGATGCAGCAATCTCAGCAAAAGCATCCATGGCAGACGGCCATCCAACCTCTGCTTAGTAACCTCCAAGGAAGGAGAGTCCACCACCTCTCATGGGAATCTGTTCCAATGCCAAACAGCCCTTACTGTCAGAAAGTTTTTATGAATGTTTAGTTGGAATCTCCTTTCTTATAACTTGAATCCATGGGTTCGAGTCCTACCGTCTAGAGCAGGAGAAAAGAAGCTTGTTCCCTCTTCCATGTGACAGCCCTTAAGATATTGGAAGATGGCTGTCAGATCTCCTCTCAGTTTCCTCTTTTCCAGGCCAAACCTACCCAGCTCCTTCAAGTGTTTCTCTTCAATCTTAGTTTCCAGACCCTTGGTTGTCTTGGTTGCCCTCCTCTGCACACATTCCAGCTTGTCAACATCCTTCTTCAATGATGGTGCCCAGAACTGGACACAGGACTCCAGGTGTGGCCTGACCAAGGTAGGAGAGAGTAGGACTTGGACTTTGTTTCATCAGGACCCTGGACTTCCATAGATGCAATCTAGAACAGCGTTACCATTTTCTGCTGCTGCACATTCCTTGTGGCTGAGGCTCAGGGTAACGCCCCCGGGACCTTTCAGTTCATGGTGTCCATGGAGGCGCAGGTCAATTCTGTGTCCAGGGCAGCTGTTAACCAGCTTCATCTAGTACGCAGGCTGAGACCCTATCTGCCTGCGGATTGCCTCGCCAGAGTGGTGCATGCTCTGGTTATCTCCCGCTTGGACTACTGCAATGCGCTCTACGTGGGGCTACCTTTGAAGGTGACCCGGAAACTACAACTAATCCAGAATGCGGCAGCTAGACTGGTGACTGGGAGTGGCCCCCAAGACCTACATTGGCTCTCAGTATGTTTCCGGGCACAATTCAAAGTGTTGGTGCTGACCTTTAAAGCCCTAAACGGCCTCAAAGGCCCAGTATACCTGAAGGAGCGCCTCCACCCCCATCATTCTGCCTGGACACTGAGGTCCAGCGCTGAGGGCCTTTTGGCGGTTCCCTCCCTACAAGAAGCCAAGTTACAGGGTAGTGGTGCCTGCCCTGGGGAACCCTCTCCCACCAGATGTCAGAGAGATAAACAGCTACCTGACATTTAGAAGACATCTGAAGGCAGCTGTCAGAGACTGCCTCCAGGTCCCAGCTCACAGAGGACCAACGCTAGCCAGTTGAACTGTACAAAAGTCTTTATTGAAGCATAGTTTCCATTTCCAAACCCTAGCGTGCATCTCTACGTCTAGAGCCTAGACCGACGAAGCTCCGTCTGAGTCTCCGCCCCCTGTACACCAGCTTAAGACTCTAGCCTTACTCCACCTTTTCCGTCTCTCCTTCCGCCTCTGGGTCCTACCACCCCCCGGGGTCCCTTCCTTCCTGGACGCTTCGGAAGCGGACCCCTCGGACTCTTCGCCCTCCCTTCGGCGGGCTTAAGGACCTGGCTCCCTATCCGGGCTGCTCATTGCGCCACCCTCTTGTACATTTGAACTTGGCGCGCGCGCGCTGCCTCCGACCTTCCTTTTGACCGTTTCCTCACTCTCTGATGCAGGCGTAGCTAACCCTGACTCATGTCCTTCCGCTGACGGAAAGCTGCCTGATGCCGATGCCTGGGACTCCTCCCCCCTACTGCTCTCCGGTGGGGAAGCTGGTCCCGATTTCCAACTGCTGCTCTCTGAGTCCCCTCTGGCCCCTCCTTCCTGGGGTGTTCCCTCTGGCAACCCCCTAGCTCTGACCACGGGAGCCCCTTTCTGTGAATCCTCCGATTCGCTGGAGAGACTTAGAGACCTCGGGCGGCTATCATCGCTAACTTCTCCCTCGGATTCCTCCCCCTCGGTCTCTAATTCCTCCCTTTCCTGTCCCTCTGCTCCTGAGCCCCTGACAGCAGCCCTGTTCTGGGAAGCTTTGAATGTTTGACAGACTATTTTATTTTAATATTTTGTTGGAAGCCGCCCAGAGTGGCTGGGTATAAATCATAAATTATTATTATTATTATTATTATTATTATTATTATTATTATTATTATTAATTATGACGATGACTGTGAGGTGTTACACGTCATTAACTTCAAGCCACACTGCCATGCCTTTGAAGACAC